ACACTAATTTTTAGGGTTTGTTTGTTTGCCGTAAAATTAATTACGAAATGGTTTTCTCGAAATCCGTGTTTGTTTCATGTAATTCGTTTTCGGAAAATTTTTCCGTGTTTGTTTCACGTAATCGTTTTTTCCGGAAAATGTTTTTAGTGTTTGGTTAGAGGAAAACTAGATGGTCAACGTAATTCATTTTCATGGTCAACGAATTTCCTTTGTGTTTTCTAAAAATGACTTACAGTATGATTTTCCGTAAGTCATTTTTCGAACTTTTCACTTCAAAGAATAAATACTCAAAATAATTTTATTTTATGAATTTAATATTAATAAAATATTTTAATATCATTTTCATCAAATATTAATATTAAAATATTTAAAAATATTTATTAATATTTATTATATTTTTAATATTTATAATAATATTATATTATATTTTTAATATTATAATAAAATAATCAATTATATTATAATATACAAGATATTATATTTTATTTTAATAAATATATAATAAACTTTTTATATTTTAATAATGAATAATATTATTATATATTTAATATTAATATAATAATCTAATAATATTTTAATAAAGATATTTTAAAATATACTAATTAATATTTTTAAAATATAATACAAATTACTTTAATAAATAATAATATAATTATAATATTTTATTTCACTAAAATATACCAATATAATATTTTTTATTAATAAAATTATAAAAATAACATTTAATAATAAATAAATTATTTTAATATTTTAAAATGATAACATTAAGTTTATTATAAATAATTATTCTTAAATAACACTTTCAAACATCATAAATATTTATCATATATTTTTTAAAAAACGTAATTCATTTTTTTTAGAATTCAAATTTCAATAATTTATTTTCAAAAAAAATCAATTGTAGTGAAACAAACATACTCTTATTTAACATTTCACTTACAATTACTTATTAAATTATATGTATATATATTTAACTTGAGTGTTTATTCTGATATGACAGTATGGTATAAAATATATAATTATAATTACTAGTTTTACTAAAGAAAACCACTTGTGTGAGAAAAAGCTGGCACTTTCCTTTGTAACAGCAAATGTCTCGACAAAAACTGAAAAATTCAGGTAATTTTTATGAAACATTTCTAGTGATCTTTCACCTTCTTTTTGCTTATTACAGAAGAGCATAGGGTATTTCCATATATCCTTTTTAAGATTTCACACTTCGGTTCATGTATTTTGACGTGAATCTTTTGTTTTTCTTTCTTAAATTTTTGGATGTTATATATTTTTTTTGGTATTCCAGTTTCTTTTCTTTGTTCGTATAAGAGGTTGGTGAATTTATTTTGTAATTATATTATTCATTATTTCCCTTGACTAATTGTTGGTATCTTTTAGACGTTTACTTTGCTGCTAACAAATTGAGTGTTTTATAAGATGTGGGAAGTGAATTATTTTTATCTTTTACCGTGAATTTATGGGTTATTCAGTCGTTTGTTCTTGTGATTGTCCAAAAGTTCAGAAGAGTATAGTGTATTTTCTATATTCCTTTTCAAGAATTTAACTCTTTAATTCTTGAATCCTTTCTTGCTTAATTTTTTTTGGTTGTGATTTTCTTTCCTTCGGAAGCGATGGAGTTTTGATCTTATGCTATGAAATTTATGGGGTCATTAACTTGTTTGTTATGTGTGATTCCTCCGAAGTTTTCTTTTCTATAGTTTCGACTTTAGCTAAAATGGTGGAAAAGGAAAGAAATCTGGTTTACAATTTCAAGATTTTGTGGTATTCTGGAATATTAAGACGCCAGAAACCACATTTAAAATTGATTGGCATTTGTTTTTCCTGTAAATAAGATTTGCATTATTGAGATTCACGTGTTACCTTTTGTTGTTGCCTATGTTATTGTTTTAATGAATACAATGTGAAAAGTAGGATCCGTGTTCGTTGATTTTTGATATTGGTTGCTTGCGATATTGCAAATTATATAAAATTTGTTGAAACTGCCACTTCCATTTTCATTGGTTAGTGTAATTTTGCGATGATAGTTGAGCAGATATTTGTGAAGTTGAGAGTAAGGCGCAAAGAACAGAAACATGATTCTAAAGTACATACCACTAGATGAAGGGATGATGATAATGGATGAGGCGATCATGAAGGCAAAGAAGATTATTGAAGGGAACCCCGAAACAAAGTTCTCTGGAGAAGAATACCAGAGGTTCTATGAGTATCCTTCGTTTTATTTTGGGATTTACTTCAATTAAATTAGCCTTCTTCAATATCAACATTCGCATCTTAGGATAGTGTTAAGACAAAATGTCATCCTTGACAATTTCTATAGGTGTGTTTATTCATGTGCACTTACCATACCTCTAACGAGAAAACAATGCAGCTTTACGAGAAATTCCGAAACAGCTTGGAAGAGAGCATATTTTCAACGGTGAGACAGTTGAGATTTCAACTACTTATATATCATGCTGGTTTTTCTTTAGCTTGTTTAGTTGCATTCTGAGCTCAGTTGTATTAGTTTTCTCTGGGCTTGCTTTTGTAGTGCTTGTATTCTCCGATATATGCTTCTTTATTGAAACAGCTAGGGAAGGTGTAGAACTGCTATATCAATGTACACTGAACTGTTGATAGATGTCGCATCGAGTGTGTATTTATGCCTTTTCTTTTTTGCTCTCAGGTACTGCCAAATTTAATCAATAAACAAGGTGAAAATTTGTTGAGAGAGTTCGTTGTCATATGGTCTAATTATAAGCTGATGGCGAGATGGTTATGTAGATTCTTTGAATACCTCGATCGCTTCTTTATCCCTCAACATATTGAGCTTGAGTCACTAAATGGCATCTCTTTTAGTTGTTTCAGGGAAATGGTAGGTGACAATGTTTATTCTTGAGATGCTTTGAGCTGAATTATAGGTGCTTTCTTGATGAAAATTGAAAGTTTTTTGGAGTAATTATATTCTTTTTTGGGTCTAATATAATTCTCAGGTCTTCAAGAAGTTATACTGTAGATTCATTGAGGCCGCATTAACGTTGGTAATTTCTGTGTGCTTGCATACACTAAAATCTTAGTTTCGTCAGTGGAATTTGGTTCAGTTCAGCTTTACATGCAGATCAATCAGGAGCGCGAGGGACTACCGATTGACTGTGTCCTGCTGAAGAATGTCTTGGATATCTTTGTGGAAATTAGTGACGACAGAGGGACTAACTATTATAAAGATTTTGAGCAGATCTTGCTTACAGAAATCTCTTGTTACTATTCTCGAGTGGCATCAGAGTGGCTTTTGCATGACTCATCGGCTGAATATGTTCAAAAGGTGTTTTTTCCCCTTCAAATTAAGTGCCTTTTTCTTATATTCATTTAAATTCTACTTACAATACTAACCATTACATGGTCTCTTAAACTTTCTAGGTTTTCTGGTGCTTTAATAGGGAGAAGCAAAGAGCTCATCAGTATCTACATCCTGACACAGAAACTAAAATAGTGCAGGTATAGTCAATGACTTTAAACTAAAGAATTTTTTTTTCTGCTTTTGATTGGTTGAATGGTTATATCCGGTTGTGCTTCCAATGAAATAATGACTAGTTAACGTAAGGCAGTTGCACTGGAGCTTCTGGCTGCGTTCTTGGTATCAAAATAAACTGCATGTTTGAGCTTGTTTAACAATGGTGCCAGCTACTTCTGGGTTTCAATATTTACTAATTTGGAATGCGTCCATTTTCCTTTTTGGCAATCTTATTATCATGATTCATACTTGTCATGGCAATTGCTAAGCAATAATGACAACTGAAATTATTTGAAAATTACTTGAGTAGGTTGGGGCTATCCGTTTCATAACTGGTCTTCATAAGCTAGATCTGTTATATTGAAATTCAGTTGCACAGAGAATAGGTTCTGTCACTTATATCTTCAGATATATTCCTAGAAACATCAATAATTCTATCTTCTACGGTTTCTGCAGGTTGTCAGATATCATTTGCTGGATCAAATTGCCAATAAACTGATGGAGAAAAAGCAAGCTGAGAATTCTGGCATAATGACAGATTATCAGGTGCCAATAAATCTCTGAAATGAGTAACTTTATCATTGTTGCATATGTCTGTCCTATTCTAGCGGTATTATAATGCATGTGGCTGTACATATTTGCTCCAAACCTGATTGTGGTCTTTGGCAAGGCAATCTCCAGATCATATGGTGGGCTTGGAACTGGAAGTTTTAGGGCCTTGGGGTATAATCGAATGATTTTATGAAGTTTATGTGTTCTTGGATTCTTTGACCTGCTTTTGATTGCAATATTGCTTGGTTTCAAGGAGATCCAAGCCAATCGGATGACTGAAAGTCCAATTATGCATGTTTACATTTAGTTTGCAAGATTGCTACATTCCATTTTTACTCTGTTGGTGGTGTCGTCCACGGAATTCATTCTCACTGCTCCAGAGCCCTATTAAAGGCCAAAATACCACTGGTACTTCAGGGACCAATGTGGTTCTGGCCCCAAATATGGCTCTGGTGTGGTGAGAAATGAATTACCACCAGATGGACTATGCCACGAATCTTGAACATTGCTTTGCTGAATTATCATTAAGTCAGAGAACCATGGACACCGTGCGCATAAAAAATGGAAAGAAATTATTTTTAAATGTCATTGATTTAACCATTTGAGGACATGTTCATAATTTACCCTCTGGTTGCCTGATTTTCTGCACTGATTATTGTTCTGATTCATGGCATATATGGATCTCTTGCAGGAAATATTGTCAAAATGTGCTGGCATGTCCCTTCAAGAGGGAAGTTCATCCACATCATCCGAAGAATGGCTCTCGAAGCTAATGGCAAGTTCAGCACATATATGTTAAATTCTCATTGGAAGAACTATCAAATGTTTGTACAAATAACTTTGGGAAAATATAGTTACTTATAATCGACCTAGTGCTTTTTCTTTTCTATTTTCCAAAAAGCGAAATTAAGCTTCTGCTGTTCATTAGTCGATTGTTTGAATGAAATTGAGATGTTTGTATTTTGTTTTCGCCGACTACAGATTCTCCCGGAAAATATCCAAGTGCTCTTTGCTGCTTAAACCATTTAGTTTTTTTTTTCCGAGTAAACCTGAAAAACTAACGTAGACCCCTTTTTAATCATAATCTGTGGGCATTGATGAGAATGCTATGCCAGGTTGTTGGCCGTCTCATTACTTCACACCTGAGCAAGGTTCCTCCGTACTTGTCTAGGTTTTCTCCAATTTGGCGCTTAAACTAATAGTATGCAGTTTTATAGTATGATCATGTTACATCGATAATCATCAAGAGGAGATAAGCTGATGTTTTAAAAATTATGGGAAATTGAGTAAAGATAATATATATAATTAGAAATGATATTGAGGTTCGGACTTAATTTCAAGGGGTTCAAAATTGACAAAAAGAAAATATTTAAATTTAAAAAAGAGAGAGAGAGAAGGGACTAATTTGCTCAACTTCAAAACTGATAGACCTAAAATGTAATTTAACCTAGAAAAGTTGCGGGCCAAGGCACATCCCACTTTGTGATGTAGTACCGGGCCCTGGTAATTACTATGGATAAAGTAGAAGGAAGTTGGCCAGCTTTGTTGCTGGAAACTTCCTGTGTAAACAACTTTATGACAGCATTTTTTCTCAAATACTTGTGTATTGACCTGTAAGACTTCCATATTTGCAAGCAAACAAAAATTGCTCTGGTTTCTTGGTTTAGCATCCGAAATTCTCAGATGAACCTGCTTTCATTTCCAGCTTTGTTATTTCAGTTCTATCAGTCAGTTAAAGTTCTTTTATGAGGTATTATCGTGAGTGGATCCTGTCTGTCATTTCTTCGTAATGCACGCAATGCGACGATCCTTAGTGAGAAGGATGAGGTCCAGAAAAAGCTTTCAAATGATTGTTTTTATCTTTCAGGCAAGATTTTTGCATGTTTGAAAGGGAAAAGACACGAAACAACTTCAGAAAAATTTGGAGGGGCTTTACAGAAGCCAAGTATATTTTACGAATTCACAGGCAAAGGAATCCTCTCCCAACGTATCTCTGCAACAAATGTTGAGTCAGTACTGCCATGGAAATGCAGGTTGAGAATTGCAATAGATTTAGCAAATGCAGTGACATATCTTCAGTTCTTCACGCCGCGTTCTGGAGACCTATTATCCATCTCTATGTTAAATGCTCAAGTATGTTGGATCACTACAATGTCCCCAAACTCATTAGCTTTAGACTATGCATATCTATTCCTCAAGGGCAATCACATGTGGAGGATGCTGTTATAGGGAGAATGGAGTACTTGTCTCCCGAATATGTGGCCAGCGGTTATTTAACAGAGAAGGCTGATGTTTATTGTTTTGGAATGCTTCTACTTGAGCTTTTAAGCGGACAGAGGCCGAGTTATGTTATTAGGGAACACCATGTACTGGATGCTGATGAGCAGCACCGTGTTGAAAATTTCGGTAATGTTGTGGATCCAAGAATATCGATCGAGTCGGAGCAGTTGCAGGGTTTGGCCACACTTTTCCACAGATGAACTTGCAATGATGGAGAAAAGAGGCCGTAAATGATCGAGGTGGCTAAAGAGCTCAAACGGATTCTTCAATCTTGTTAGCTTAGCCCCTTGAGGTTTTCATAGTTACTCTGTAGCTGAATAATCTTGTAAGTTGTAGTTTGTATCCATAAATATTGATCTATGATGAAAACATGGCCTGCAACTGCAAGATTCTCTAGTTCTTTAATCATATGATGAAAACATTTGTAGACGTTTGCTGGATCGATAATTCGTGCCACATCGGCCGGAGGATATTGTCGCTCTGTACATATCTGTATGTCATACGAAAAAAGAGATCAGCACAAGATTGCAACCAAGATGCTGGCAGGAGCGTTCCTGTGAAGAGTAGATATCATATTGGAAAAGCATGTTATAAGCTCTGAAGGAACTTGCTCGCTGTTTCGAGGTAATCCGGAAATCAAGTGTTTTTTTTTTGGATTACTGATACAGCCGTTCTCCGGCTCTGTTGACTTAAACAACGGCATCCTAGTGTCAGGTGTAAATTGGGGTTTATCTATGGAGTCCAAAGCTTCCACAACCCTCATAAATACATCATCGTCGTCTTTCGTAGATGACATAGCCTGAATGACGGTGCATGATAAGGGTCATTAAACCATAAGCTCAGAATTTCAAGTAAATATATACACAAGGAAGAAAAGACACTTGTACCTTAATAGCGGCATCCACCATGGTATGCACTATGCTGCTATCACACTGAGCATGCAGTTCAGTCTAATCTACATCTAGCATGAAAAATACCAAGAAAATAGTGGAATAACCTTTTTGACCAGAGAAGGGTTCAACTCAGGCATAACTCGTATATCAGCTCCCCTCCCCTGGATCTGCACAAGGCCAACCTCACCATGGCTAATCTTGTGACGACATTGCTAGATCATTTTTGTTAGTTTTCGAGGCACAAAATTAATTCGCATTAGACACAAGTGTTCTTCTTGAAGAATATTAACGAGGATGTGCTTTGTAAGCGTAAGTGCTTCGTCTTCATTTGTTTAGCGTTCTTTGAATCATGTTTGGCCGTTTTTACGTGAGAATGTCAATTGATATGTAGGAGATGGTCTGAGTATTCTGTTTGATATGATCAATGGATCTCATGTATCCCTCCTCGAACGCTTATACAGAAAGTCATGTAGATCTTACAATACTGAAGTAACTTTCACTTACGATTCATCGTATTCTACGCCTGGATGTTGTTCAATCCTTTTATATTTCGTTTATTGTAAAAAATTAATAAGAAAATATTATAATCCTAACAATAAAAATTAAAAAAGGAAAAAGTTAGTTATACCCTATTTGTTCCATAACTGGTAAGACTCATTTAAGAGTGGACGTAACTAAGAATTTGTTTGATAATTCATTTAAAAATTAACTCCTTGGAAAATAATTATTGTAGTAAATTAATATTTGAAATATGTTTGATAATTTAAAATTAAAATTATTTGTTAAAATATTTTTGAATAAAAAATTACAAAAATATTAAGTAGACGACTTGTTTATTACTTAATGTATAATATTTTCAACCCTCTTTATTTTTTTTTATTTCTTTTAATTATATTATTCTTTAAAATTTACATTTATCGAATAATTTAATTATATTTAATATTTAATATTTAATTATAAATAAAATATAAAACTAATTTATAATTTAAATTCAATGTTTATTTGTTTAATATTTACTTTTTTCAATTTTTTTATCACTTAATTTTTTAATTTATCAGACAACCTCTAATTAATCAAAGTTCTTACAATATTATATAGACACGAGATATCTATAAAATTTTACAAGTTGTAGTAATAACAAACATTTATTTGAAACATGCTGTTTTGGTCTAATGACAAATAGGAATTCAAATTACAAGGTTAACAATGTAGTCTGTGTGTGGACATGTGAGTTTGTAAAAAAAACAACAAGAACATTAATTTGTTTACAAACGGTAATACGGTTTGAAACACTGTTTGGAATTCCCTTGCCTGTAAGTCCACCTTCAATGGTTGGATACAACAACGTGTACGGAACATTGACTGGACCGACACGGTTCTTCCATAGCTTATTGTTGTTCATCTCTACAATCCGTTCCTCTATCCTTGAAAGCCATTCTCCGAATTCATCGAAAGCTGCAAACGGTGTTTCGTCTGATGTCCATTCGGTACTGTCCCTTTGCCCCGGATAAAACTCATCTGATGAATGCCTTGACAGGATTTCTATCAAGGAGATTCCAAGGAGCGTCTGCAGTTGAGCAGTTATGGTCTTCAAGAACGCCTTGTTGGGATTCGACTTGAGTTCCGCATACTCCGGAGTTCCTTCTTCGGGCATGAACTGGCGGCTTATAGTTGGACGATTTGGGAGGTAGCCTGCATAAGGATATTGGCTGAAGTTACCGCGGCATGGAGAGCCGAAACTATCCATATGATAGTGGTGCAAGAATCGATCAGCTCTTGTCGAGTCTGCATTTTAGGCCACCATGGCTCGTCTTTCTTGTCGCCATGCCCCTTCTCTCGGAGTTCTTTCCACCAGGCTTGAAGCTCGGGGTCTTGTCCAACCATTTTATCGGTCTTGTTGTAGAACGAACAATAATCCGTCACCCATTTTTCAATTGCGAACCAAATCTCCAGTCCATCAACAGCATACGGATAGTCTTTTATCAGCAGGCGAAGATCATTTGGTGAACTATTATCATCAACTGCAACTCCTCTGAATAGGGAAGATGAAAACATGTTACTTCCATAGTCAAAATGCTCTATAGACTCGTATTCGAGTTAAATGTACCTCTTCTTGAGTTCTCTAGGAAGTGCCTGGTCAACCAAATTCCAGCTCTTATAAATCAGTGATGACATTTCCATTGCATATTTTCCAGGTTAATTCCAGGACTCCACCTCCATTGATCAAAACCTGCCTAGCGAATGCATTGATGTTCATCGTGTCGCGGAAGTGAGGATGGAGAAGTTTATAAATTGGATGAACTGCACTCAGCTGTCGAGTGTTCAACCTGTAAACAAATTTAAAACACCATAAACATAAGCCCTTTTCGTAAAATCGAAGCTTAACCGATATATAACCACTACTTTATATATCCATACCAATGGCTTATGAGTTGATGAACACCAGAGTCATTTACAGCAACGTAAGCTTTAGCCAACTGCCATATTGAGCCTTCAACTCCATGTTCTGCAGGTGTGTAAACCTTGCTAGAAGCACCGAGTTGATCCCTGCTCGGATGTGGCAAACTCAATTCAATCGCCAGTGGCTTCAAAGTCCCATCATTACGTAAAAACAAGATGGTTCGAGAAGCGTAAGTCTTGGTGGTCGTAGAATTTATCCTCCGCAGATACGGCATAAGTGAATCATGATGATCCAATATGAATAACCTGTTGGTTGTCAGTGCTTCTTCTATGGTAAGTCCCTCTAGGTTGTGCTCAATGTGTTCCTTGGTTATGGCACTGTTTTGGTTGTCGTAAACTTTAGGATTTAGCTTGCTTGTTGGAGGAAATTCCTGAAATCGAAAAAAAATGTACAAAATTAGTAAATTTTGAGAGTTTAATAGATTTGCAGATAAAAAATGAGACTTGAAAGTTTGGTGCTTAAAGCTACTTCAAGAAGACGAATCATAACAGGGTTAACTCCGGCAAGCATTTCTCTGGCGAATTCTTCGTCAGTTCTCCATGCAGTCTAACTGTCTGCACAAGTTCATTAAAAATATCAAAGTAAGTGATAATGAACATCAAGTAATAAGTCTTAAGAGAGACATTGAACACGTTTAAAGGTGGCAATGGGGCAGGGCTGGACTGAACCGATTTTTGATATTTAACTCTTAAATTAGCAATAAATCGAATGCAAACCTTGGATCACTTGAGGCACAGGAAATTTCAAAAGTTGTGCCCCATCAGTCCGGAAAATTTCTTTGAGCATCTCCAAGGGGATGTTGTTGATGATATTATCAAGCAAAGGTCCAGAAGGAAGCTTAACTCCACCATAGTAGAGCTTAAGAACATCCTCGAATGAATCGAATTCGTTGTGAGTTTTATCGGTTAGATCTTGAAGCTCTGGTATAATGAATTGAACAATAGATTTCAGTGCATAAGCAAGAAAATACGACATCTTCAAGTGTCCGAATCGTTCGTCCCTTGGGACATATATGTTTGAGCTCATCAAAAGTGGTATCCTGCTCTCAGTCCTGTGATCTGTTCAATTATTGCAGCAACCTTGTCACAATCAATACATTGTCTGTTTTGATCTGAAAAATCCAACTGTATGTATATATAGTAACGGATCCTCACCTGTTCTAGATGGTGGTCTGCCTATTCTTCCTCTACGAGGATACGGGTACTAAACGGATCCGTCGAGAACCGGGTGGGCGTATTCGGGCCCTTGTCGGGGTTCCCGAGATCATTGTTATAAGCATAGTCATAGACACGATCCCATTCTTGAAGCTCTCCTTGGCCATTGCCTCTCAAGGCCTTCATCTCTTCTTCTCTGTATTTACGTAGTGATTCCGGCATCTCATGCGGAAGATACGTCTAAAGAAAAATAAAATCAAACATTTTAAAATTTAAACTATGGTTTCAACAAAGAAACACACTGAAATTCTTCGGAGAAGATACCTTGTTAGTGAAGAAAACTCTAGGTTTTTGATATCTCTTGTCGGGATAAACCCAAGAATTGCAGACAAAGTGAATCCGACCATGTCCAGGAACATGTTCCACGGTAACAGTCTTGAGATAGAATTCACTGTGGTGATGGTTTTTAATCAGAACAGGTCCGGGTTTTCCGATTTCTTCATCAAAATCAAAGTTATCACTGAATTTAGATTCCCCGCCGGCCACGGCGGAAGTTTCTGTAGAGTTCCAGTCCTCCAAATATGCTGGTTCCCCCGGCTTTCCTTGCATTCCATTAGCTACAAAAACAGAAAAAAAAATTAAAACACCAACTATAGATAATTTTTTCGAATAATATATATATATATATATATATATATATATATCGAAATTTGTAAAAGAAAATTAAATTATAAAAAATAAGTTTTGTTAATTGTGTGAAAATACTTTTCGACAGCATAATTTCTATAATTAATTCATTAGATAAATCCCTTATATATTATAGTATTAAAAAGAAAGAATTCTTAACCTTACTGATCAAAAGTACATTTAATAAAAGAATGTAATATATGTATGCATGTATGCATTTTTTACTTGGTAACCAAAAACGACTATAAATTATTAGGAATGTCAGTCTTTTGTTTTGGCTTTAATTTTAAAAATTTAAATACTCATGCTTTTCACTAATTAGTGGTGAAAACAAAAATCGTAGTAACAAATTCACAATAGAAACAACGGATAAAAAAAACAAAAGATTTTAAACAAAACCCGAAGATTTTAAACAGATCCACCTTGAAATGACCGACGTAGAAAACAAGTCGACAAGCTCCACGTGGCGCCTATTAAGTGCCGACATTGTCTTGTTTCAAACGCGGTGATAGAAACTCTCAATATCCTCTCACTTCACTTAATTCTCTCCAAACACAGTTGTCTTCCAAAACTCAGCAATGCCGGAGGGTGGAGAGAAGACCTTGCTTGACTCGGGATGGCTCGCCTCGAGATCCACCGAGGTTCAACTCACTGGGACTCAGCTCACCACCACTCATCCCCCCACTGGCCCAACCTCTCCTTGGATGGAAGCTGTCGTTCCCGGAACGTAATAAACCTCCAATTTCTGCATATTTAGCGGTCAAATTTGTTTTGATTTTGTATATATGCGGGAAAGTAATTTTGCATTTTATAGCAACCGAATTCGTTTTAGATTTGTTTAAATGAATGCCTAGAGTTTTGCTGGATTGGCTTGAGTTTTCTCTGGTTTTAATTTGGAAAAATAATTATTTGTTTGATGATATGAAATGAAAAGATTTGATTGAGATTGAATTGATGAGAAAATTGCTAGTTACATATCATTTACTTTTGAGGAAAAAAAGGAAGCGTTATTAAAAAATTGATAATAAATCAAATTTCATATTTAGGTTCAGTTTAATTGTTAGTTTTTCCTAGTTTTTTCAAGTCATTGAAAACAAGCAGTAGTAATATTTTTGAATAAACTGCAAATTAAAGTTTTGTTGATATAACGACATAACTGTAACTTTTCTTTTTCAGTTTATAACAATTTAGGAATGTAAAGGACTAGAGTTTCTTAATCCTTTTAATTATTCTCATTGTTCCGGGTTGAAATTAACTGTAATATTTTAAAAATTGGACTCAAAATGTTGGTTTTAGCTAAATGATTGAATATTTGGTGATTTTATCTGCTTCTAGGGACCTACATTGCAAAACTGATGTTGCTCCTCATGACAAATATTATAGCGTAGTTTGAATATATGGTCAGTTGTCTCGGTGGAGGTAGCATTTGATTTCTCAACTTAATGGTTTGGATTATTTTTTCTTGATGGACAGTGTTCTGGCAACTCTAGTAAAAAACAAAGTTGTTGGTGACCCGTTTTATGGTTTGGAGAACGAGACGATCCTTGATATAGCTGATTCTGGAAGGGAGTACTACACATTCTGGTTTTTCACAAAATTCCAGTGTAAGCTGGTATGGAATGTTTTTATGTGAAATCTGTGAGGTTAAATATGAGTTGAAAACAATAAAATTTTGGTTTTGGTTTGTATTCCATGTAGATGCTTAATTGATCTGAACTGTATAACCTAAATCTTGAAAATCTTATATCCGACTAACAAATTCTGTTTCTTTTACTTCATATTTTGCAGTCAGGAAATCAGCATTTAGATCTGAATTTCCGTGCTATCAATTACTCTGCAGAGGTCTACTTAAATGGGCACAAGAAGGTCCTTCCTAAAGGGATGTTTCGAAGACATTCCCTTGATGTCACTGATATCCTAAATCCTGATGGTTCAAACTTGATGGCTGTTCTTGTTCACCCACCAGACCACCCTGGGAGCATTCCCCCTCAAGGTGGGCAAGGTGGGGATCATGAGGTACACATCTTTGTTCAAAAGATCCTCATTAAGTTGTTTGATCTCATTCAACGTTGTTTGAGGTTAAATCTTAGTTATTTAATTAATGTGAGCAAAAGCTGCAACCTAATGGCTAACACCCTTTCTTCTCATCTTAGATTGGGAAAGATGTTGCCACACAATATGTTGAGGGTTGGGATTGGATAGCTCCAGTGAGGTGAGTATTTTGTAACTTTGAAACTTCAGAGTATTGTTTTGTTTGTTTGTTTGTTTGTTTTTCCCCTGGTATTTGATTTTCTGATGAATAATGCGACTTAGTGTACAGTAACTGTTCCTGTCTCTATATAATGTCATTGCAAGATTTGTACGTTCCTTATAGGTTCTTCGACCAACTTCTCTCAATATTTAGAGTTTCATTTGTGTAGCTCTTGTGATAATGGATGTACCTTGAACATACAAGTGCATACTGTCATTTGTATGCTAAATATCAATATATTGAGTAGACTGGTTTTATGAGCTAAAGGTTTATGCACCAGTTAAATGGATATGAAATAATGCAGATATGGTTATAAAAAAATGCTTGGAGGTACATCGAGAGGAGCACCAGGGGATTAAACACGTTTATAGTAGATAGATTATTGTGCATAGGAGCAAAATCTTGGTTGTACATGGAAAAAACAATGCAGTTCTACTAGTATATGGAGATTAACCAGTGTAATTATTTTGCATTTTTTGCTGTTGTATTATCTTTCATCTAATCTTCTATCTGTCAGAATTTTTTGAATTGTCAACTAGCATCCCATCCCTGTTTTCTGAAGAAGTAAAAAACATGATATCTTAATATCTGATCTCTACTTGTCTCAGGGATAGGAACACTGGTATCTGGGATGAAGTCTCAATATCTGTTACTGGGGTAAGATTTATGCATAAGGCTTAAACTTCATTGTGCTATGTTTTTATCTCGTGTTAGTCTTGATTGTTGAGTATACATAATTCTCCACAATGCCATAAATGCTTTTCCTTTTTATTGCTTCTAGTTTCTCCCTGATTTATAGAGACTTTTCCATATAATATGTTCGAGTTTATTCTTGGTACCTACATTTGTATATATGTTATCTGGTAAACATGCATTTTATTCCTAAATATCAGTTGTTGATGGTGATCTTATGTTTTCGCTCTCGTTTTTTTATGATACTTCATAATTAATTTAAATGCCATTTTTTGATTCATTTGCTTTGGATGCAGCCAGTAAAAATAATTGATCCACACTTAGTTTCGTCATTTTTTGACCGTTACACAAGGGTATATTTGCATGCAACAATTGAATTGGAAAATAGAAGTGCTTGGGTTGCTGAATGTTCTTTAAATATTCAAGTGACAACAGAACTTGAAGGAAATGTTTGCTTAATGGAACATCTTCAGACTCAGCATGTTTCGATCCCTTCTGGAGCGCGTATTCAGTATACATTTCCTCAGGTCAGTGTTGGTATCGTTCTTATTTATTTTTATACGTGTTTGTTGCATCCTTGGTTGCATTACAAATTAGTTATTTGTCTTAGATGAATAGTTGCCTTTCCCCTTTTTGATTGTTTATTTGTGTTTATGAGTTTTTGCATTTTGATATAGAGTAGAACACATTTGAGAGAATTCGGAGCAAGATTTGACTAAATTGGATCTCTTTGAGAAAAATTCAACTTTCCTTTTTATTTTTTCATTAAGAAAATCAATTATAATTTAGAGCACATTAATGGTACTTCCTTTGAAATAGCATTCTTTCTTTCTTTCTCTGCAACCTGAAATTGGATACCTGTAGTTATGTGTTCAAAGCATCCATTTATTGAAAGGTGCCATTTAAATTTGCTTGCCTTGTTAAAAATGCTTATGCCGTCTATTGCAGCTTTTCTTCTACAAGCCCAACCTATGGTGGCCCAACGGCATGGGAAAGCAATCTATGTATAATGTCAGTATTACTGTTGATGTGAAGGGACATGGAGAGTCTGATTCATGGACCCAGCTATTTGGTCTTCGCAAAATTGAATCTCATATTGATACTGCTACTGGAGGGAGGTATGCTTCAGAAACGAATTTTGACAAATATTAAAGCATTGCGTCTAGAATTTCTATAATCTGTTTCATTTCGGCATCCTTTAACAGGTTATTCAAGGTGAATGGACAGCCTATTTTTATCCGTGGTGGTAACTGGATATTGTCAGATTGTTTGCTACGGCTTTCTAAGGAGCGTTACAAAACAGACATAAAATTTCACGCTGATATGAATCTGAACATGATTCGTTGTTGGGGTGGTGGGTTGGCCGAGAGACCAGAATTTTATCATTATTGTGATATTTATGGTTTGCTGGTAAAGCTCTACTCTGTATCTCTGTATATGCCTATGTTTATGCACATTTTATGGATGCTTGCTACTTGCAAGGGCTATCGTACGTGTAATTTTGTGCATGCGTAATTTCATTAAAGCCAACTAAAGTTTGATGGATAGAATAGAAGGATAAGAGTCAAGCATGTATAAGATTGTGAAGGTTATAAAGAATTAGGAATTGTTTGGAACGATGAGCTGCTCATTTATGAAATTGAAAATTCTTCTTAAAGGAAGTGAAACTAAGGAATGCGGTTAGTTTCGGTAGCTGGGTTTATGCAATCTTGTGTGCATGATTAACTTGGAAGTAACCAATGTAAAAATGTTGTAGGTATGGCAGGAGTTTTGGATTACTGGTGATGTAGATGGAAGAGGTGTCCCAGTATCAAACCCAAATGGCCCACTTGACCATGGTCTTTTCATGCTATGTGCCAGAGATACTATCAAGCTTTTAAGGAATCATCCTAGTCTTGCTCTCTGGGTCGGGGGAAACGAACAGGTTCCACCAGCTGATATCAACACAGCTTTAAAGAATGACCTGAAACTGCATCCATTTTTTGAGACCCATGGTGAAAACATAATGTCCGTGGAAGAGTTGTCAGCGTTCAAGGACCCTAGTCAATATTTGGATGGAACGCGTGTTTACATCCAAGGATCCATGTGGGATGGCTTTGCTAATGGAAAGGGTGACTTTACTGATGGCCCTTATCAAATCCAGAATCCTGAAGACTTCTTTAAGGATAACTTTTACAAATATGGTTTCAACCCTGAGGTTGGTTCTGTAGGAATTCCGGTTGCAGCTACTATCAGAGCAACCATGCCTCCTGAAGGGTGGCAACTTCCATTGTTTAAGAAGCTTCCCAATGGTTACACGGAAGAAGTTCCAAATCCCATTTGGGAATACCATAAGTATCTTCCTTACTCAAAACCCGGGACGGTTCACGACCAGATCGAACTGTATGGAACCCCAAAGGATCTCGATGATTTTTGCTTGAAGGTATTAAACGAAAACCATTTGCCTTTTATGGGGAATGCATTTGTTCTTCTCTTTGATTTTAAAACCAACTTTTTTGCGTGTTCATCTCAGGCTCAACTTGCTAACTACATTCAGTATAGAGCTTTATTAGAGGGTTGGTCTTCCCGTATGTGGAGCAAATACACTGGAGTTTTGATTTGGAAGACACAGAATCCGTGGACAGGTCTTCGAGGTCAATTTTATGATCATCTCTTAGACCAGACAGCCGGCTTTTATGGTTGTCGCTGCGCTGCAGAGCCGATTCATGTTCAGCTCAATCTTGCTACATATTTTATAGAGGTAAGTACTCAAAAGAATTAAATGCTACAACTGATATGGTCGTAACTAATTATGAAATCAGCAATTCACTGGAAAGTTTTTGTTTTCCTCTTCTTTTTTTCATGTGCAGGTTGTCAATACTATGGCGGAGGAACTGTCGAATGTCGCCATAGAAGCATCAGTGTGGGATCTTGAAGGAGCTTGTCCCTATTACAAAGTTTTTGATAAGCTTTCTTTGCCACCAAAGAAAGTCGTTTCCGTTAGTGAGATAAAGTATCCGAAGTCGAAAAACCGGAAGCCAGTGTTCTTTCTGCTCCTCAAACTATACCATGTTTTGGACTACAGCATTATATCCCGAAACTTTTACTGGTTGCATCTCCCTGGTGAAGATTACAAGCTGCTGGAACCATACAGGAACAAGAGAATACCTCTTAAGATAACGTCAAAGACATTCATCAAAGGCTCAACATACGAGATCAAAATGAATGTGCTGAACAAATCGAAGAAACCTGACCCAAAATCTTTAACCTACAAGAACAATTTTGCTGTCAGAGACGATAATGGCGACTTCGATATGACATCACTTGAACCTATAACCAACATCGGAACCGGCCCGAATCAGACGGCAGGTTTGTTTCAGAGACTTTACAGGCGATTCTCAAAGGAAACTAATGGTTTAAAAGTTGCAGAGACAAACGGAAACGATGCCGGAGTTGCTTTCTTCCTTCATTTCTCGGTTCATGCTTCAAAGATAGATCATAAGGAAGGAGAAGATAGTCGAATACTTCCGGTTCATTATTCAGATAACTATTTTTCATTAGTGCCTGGTGAAGAGATGTCAGTTAAGATCTCATTCAAGGTACCTTCAGGTGTCAGTCCGAGAGTAACGCTTAAAGGCTGGAATTACCACCATGGAGTGCACACTGTTCTTTAACTGGTTTTTTAGATCGTTCGTGCTGTCGAGAATTCTGGTCGCACGGTGTCGCAAATTTGGTGAAACAACGCTTTTCTATATCGTCACACCTAAAATTCTCTTTTATGTTGATCTACGTATTTATTACATATTGATGCACGAAAATATAATAAGATATTGATATGCGTAATATTTATTTTGTTGGACAGGAATTTTTATAATTTCTAGTTGCCTGCATAATTAAATATTGTAGCCAAAAGTCCAAACGAGAAACCTATGGTCGTATGTTTTTTGGGATTTGAATAAAAGTATTTAAAAGTCATTTAATAATTATTAAAATAAATTTAAATTGTTTTTTATTAATTTAAGTTAACTATAAGGTAATATCTTTTCGGAATTTACTACGAACAAGAACATGTAATCTCTAGTTTAATTGCTCATTTAATGGGATTTTAGATAAAATCCTCTCATACCATATTATTGTTGGCATATATGCTCAAACTCGTTTAAAAGACCGTTGTAGCTTCCCTCCAAGCACAACTGAAACAAATAATATATTTCATGGATGAAATCCCAATGGATTTTCAAAACACTAATTCCCCACCTTTCATCATGTTTCCCTTCCATCCTCCCCCAATCCAAAATCCAGAAACTCTACCAATTCCCATCTTCAGATCTCCCCAGAGTTGTTCTTAACCATTTAGACTTAAGCCTCCTTTTATCAGCCTCTGGGAAACAGGGATACTTCCTTCTGGGTTCCTCCATCCACGCTTCCTTTATCAAAAACCCTGAATTTTTTAACCATGTGGAGATTTTAAGGATTCTAATAATGCTCTTGTTCTTTGGAATTCTCTCCTTGGAATGTACTCGAGATGTGGCACTTTAACTGTTTTGAGCAAGCTGTTTGATGAAATGCCAATGAGAGATACCGTTTCATGGAACACGATAGTTTCTGGGGTTTTAAGGAACGGGGAGTTTGGTAAGGGTTTTGCATACTTCAAACAAATGAGGGAATCGGGTTTTTGTTGGTTTGATCAAGCGACGTTGACTACTATTTTATCGGCTTGTGATAGAGTAGAGTTTTGTTCTGTTGTTAAGATGATGCATGGATTAGTATTTTTCAGTGGATTAAAGGAAATTAGGGTAGGGAATTCTTTGATTACTTCGTATTTTAAATGTGGATGCGTGAGTTCAGGGAGGCGAGTTTTCGATGTGATGTTTGAAAGGAATGTTATTACTTGGACAGCTACGATCTCAGGTTTAGTGCAAAATGAAATGTACGACGAAAGCCTGGAATTGTTTAATCAAATGCGTTCGGGATCAGTGTGTCCGAATTCTTTAACTTATTTAAGCTCATTGACAGCATGTTCTGGTTTGAAAGCACTGATGGAAGGGCGCCAAATTCATGGTCTTTTATGGAAGTTAGGGATTCAGTCTGAACTCTGTATCGAGAGTTCACTAATGGACATGTATTCTAAATGTGGGAATGTGAATGATGCATGGCAGATTTTTGAATCTGCACAAGATCTTGATGAGGTTTCCATGACTGTAATTCTTGTAGGTTTGGCACAAAATGGGTTCGAGGAAGAAGCTAAACTGTTTTTTGTTAAAGTGTTCAAGTCAGGAATCGAAATTGATCCGAACATTCTGTCAGCAGTTTTGGGGGTATTTGATGAGGATACTTCATTGGGTTTGGGCAAGCAGATTCATTGTTTAAGCATCAAAAGAAGTTTTGGTTTCAACTCTTATGTCAGTAACGGGCTCATCAACATGTATTCGAAGTGTGGAGATTTAGAGGAGTCAGCCAAAGTCTTCACTCGAATGTCTCAAAGGAACTCAATTTCATGGAACTCTATGATTGCAGCTTTTGCTCGTCACGGGGATGGCTGTAGAGCACTAAAATTATATGAGGAAATGAAATCAGAAGGAATAGCGCCAACTGATGTTACATTCCTCTCTTTGCTTCATGCTTGTAGCCATGTAGGCTTAGTCGAAAAGGGTATGGAGGTCTTGAAGTCGATGACTGATGTTTACGGAATTATTCCCAGGGCAGAACACTATGCTTGTGTGGTTGACATGTTAGGCCGGGCAGGGCTCCTCAGTGAAGCTAAGACTTTCATTGAGGGATTGCATGTTAAACCCAATGTGCTTGTTTGGCAAGCATTGCTTGGTGCTTGTAGCATTCATGGTGATTCTGAGATAGGGAAATATGCAGCTAATCAGCTGATTTTGGAAACACCTGAAAGTCCAGTGCCATACATATCAATGGCGAACATATATTCTTCTCGAGGAAAATGGAAAGAACGAGCAAGGACCATTAAAAGAATGAAGGAAATCAGGGTGTCGAAAGAAACTGGTATAAGTTGGATAGAGATTGAAAAGAAAGTCCACAGCTTCGTCGTTCAAGATAGAATGCATCCACAAGCAGAGGCTGTGTATGGGATTCTGGAAGAGCTATCGGAACTCATGTTGGATGAAGATTATGTGCCAGGCTATGTTACTCCAACTCGAGTAAAGTGTCGAACATAGGTATATGTATGATTTACATGTATTTGGAGGGTCGTCGGAGGATTATATCCTTGTACCCGTGTCTAAGTATGCATTGGATACAGGTGTCAAAACATGGATACTTAAAAATAAATAAATAAAAATGAAGAGCGGAAGCAACTCAGGTTCCAGGTAAGATGTTTATTCCAAGTTCCATGCACCAAAATTTTGTCCATTAATAGAGAAACTTGTTGAATACAATATTTTGTAAACTTGTTGATGTTTTATCTTCAATTTGATCTATAATAACTCAGAACCATAATAAATACTTTTTATCCGTTTCTATAGAAAAGAAAGCTCTAAAATGGTTGTTAGTGAATTTATTGGTCATGATCGTTCTTTGATTTATCAGAATTGCTTGAAGTGAACATACCCGTGTCTGATACACACTCGTGTCTGACATTCACACCCAAATCCGAGTAACATAGTTGTAACACCCCCAACCCGTATCCCAACCCGGATACGAGTCAGAGATATTATATTAACTTTTAAAACACAACTCATTACAAATAATAGTCAAATACTTGAATTTATATTACGAAAAATACAATAATATACATATGGTGATATAAGTTTACCAAAATATTCAGAGCATACACAACTTAACTCTTTAATTACATGCTAACATCCATTTTCATAACAAAATGACCTACTGATTAAGTTGCTTCTGATCTGATAGTTGCAGAAGTAATGTTGTCCAGCTGCTTAACCTCGATCGTCTACTTTATCGGATCCTACGTGTGAAACACTCACACGCTAAGTCATCGACTTAGTGAGGCAATATAATAATAATATCAATAAATATAAAGTAATTGCCAAAATGAGATGGGTTGCAGTAATAAGATGTATGTAAACAATGCAATAACCAAAACCATGTTTCTTACACATATACTTATCAAATTCACATTCATAAGTTCGCCTTAGTAAGTTCATTAGCCCATGGTACCATACAGAGAACCTAAGGTATGTGAGTATTGTGAGGTTGTGCACTATGCTGTCACCACAGCTCGTATAATTGCACCTAAGTGCCACTTAGAATTGCACCGGAGTGTCGCGTAGAATTGCACCGTAGTGCCATATAATAATGTCCATAAGGACCACATATCATTCCTTAAGAATCATATACATATACCAAGGATCAAGTATGTCAGACCTCACACATGTTCCAAAGAATACATATATGTCCCGAAGGACCACATATCATTCCTTAAGAATCATATACATATACCAAGGATCAAGTAGGTGTCTCACCAGACCTCACACATGTTCCAAAGAATACATATATGTCCCAAATGACCACATAGACCTTCTACCCTTGGCATGCCAACTATACCTATAGTTCTCATTTACATAACATGGGCTTTCACAATTTATCTAATTTGTATCACGTAGACATATTATTTTCATACCTTTATCACATAACTCATATAACTTTTCTTGCATATTCATGTCCCATAATGCATATGGTATGGATTCATTTCATATATCATAATATGAAATACTATCATGTATCAAAATATTGAATCTAGACTTATCACAAGTCTAGAACTGAATAAAATACATATTCATGCTATGCATATGCACTCACCTAGATTTCTTTGTCTTTCCCTCGATTGATCCTACTTGTCGATGGTTCCGGAACTCGATTAGGCTCAAAATCTACATAAGCAAAGTTTTCAAGATGATTATCAGATGCCTAAGTCTTGAAATTAACCTCTAATAGCCTACCAATTTAAGGAATTGATAGTTTAGTCTCTCTTCTTTCTTTCTTTTTTTATTATGGGGGAATCGGTTCCCCCCTGGGGGTATCGATTCCCCTCTAGCGTTCTGGAAATTCATATTCGTTTGAGGGGGTATCGATTCCCCTTGAATGGGTATCGATTCCCCTAGCCCAGAAATCCTATTTTGAGCTCGAAATTCACTTCATTTCAGCTTAAACCTTCATATTTTACTTCCTTTAATATTCCTAACTTCCATACACATATTTAAACTCATTTCTATTCCATAATCATTTCTTTAAACCCAAAATTCCATCATTTATATGGCATTCAAGAATCGCACTAAATTTTCAAGGTGTTCTAATTCCAATTCTAACACTTCATATCCCTTAATTAACTTGATGACAAGTCAAATCTCACTTCCAATTCTTATTATGAACTCTAATCTAAGATTTCACTTTTCTACTTCTTTTCTTTAATTCTTCATATACTTCTCATCTTGAGGTTTTAAAACAATTTAAACTTCCTTTAAGCTTAACTATTGTCTAATGGTCATGAATCAACCATAAATTCATCAAGAAATTCACTAACAAAAGAATCTTACATTAGCTTGGGTCTCATGTATGAAGAAGAAGAAAGAAGAAGATGACTCTGGAAACTTGTTTTTAATTTCCTATACATCAACGTGGTTAATATAATACTAACCCCAATAATTATATTGCTATAAAAAGACCATTTTATCCTTCTAATCTTCTTTCTTTATAATTCAATCCTACACAAAATAACTCAAATAAGTCATTGAACTCTTCCATCATTCTACTTAAATCACCAAATGCTGAAACTTTATAAATTAATCACTAACCCGGCATGGAGGATGTTACAAATCTCCCTCCCTTAAGAAAATTCGTCCTCGAATTTTCAATAAGAAAAGAGATGGGGATACTGATTCCTCATATCCTCCTCATGCTCCCATGTTGCTTCCTCTACTTTGTGGTTCTTCCATAAAAGTTTAACCAATGAGATAGTCTTGTTCCTCAATTGCTTAACCTCATGAGCTAAAATTTGAATCGGTTCTTCCTCATAAGTCAAATCCGGTTGTACCTCGATCTCTTCTGGGTTTACGATATGGGAGGGATCCGATCGATATCTTCGAAGCATTGAGACATAGAATACGTTGTGAATCTTTTCCATTTCTGGTGGTAAAGTCAATTGGTATGCTACGGGTCCCACTCTTTTTACAATCTCATATGGTCCAATAAACCGGGGACTTAACTTTCCTTTCCGACTAAACCTCAACACATTCTTCCATGGAGATACCTTTAAAAACACTTTATCCCCAACTTCAAATTCAATCTCCTTTCTTTTAAGATCAGAATAGGACTTTTGCCGATCAGAGGCCACTTTGAGGTTATGCTGAATTTCTCAAACTTTCGGTTCTACATCTTGAATTAAATCCGGACCAAGAACACTTCGATCTTTGAGTTCATACCAATTTAATAGAGTACGACGTTTTCTTCCATATAATGCTTCATATGGGGCCATCTTGATACTAGACTGATAACTATTGTTGTAAGCGAACTCTGCCAACGTTAAATACTTTTCCCATGATCCTTTGAATTCCATTACGTATGCTCTCAACAGATCTTCCAATATCTGAATAGTTCTCTCTGATTGCCCATCAGTCCGAGGATGAAAAGCCATACTAAAGTTTAAACGAGTCCCTAACTCTCCATACAAATATTTCCAGAATCTAGAAGTGAATCGAGGGTCTCGATCAGAGACTATGGAAACAGGCACTCCATGCAATCTAATAACTTCTCTAATATACAGCTCTGCATACTTTTCCATAGAGAAATCCGTTCTAACCAGAAGGAAATGCGCTGACTTAGTTAATCGATCAACAATTACCCAAATTGATTCTCTTTTGTTCGGAGTCAAGGGTAACCCCGAAACAAAATCCATCGTAACATTTTCCCATTTCCATTGAGGAATGAAAAGCGGTTGCAATAATCCTGACGGAACTTGATGCTCAGCTTTGACTTGTTGACATATCAAACACTTAGACACAAATTCGGTGATGCTTCGTTTCATCCCTGACCACTAAAATCGATCCTTCAAATCCATATACATCTTGGTTCCAGCCGGGTGCATCGTTAACGGACTGCAATGAGCCTCTGTTAATATTTCTTTCTTCAAGTCGTCATTGTCGGGTATTACAATTGTTCCTTTACAATATAGATTTTCATCTGACTTAATCTCAAAGTCTTTAATCTTTTTGCTCTTTACTTGCTCAATTCTTTTCAAACATGTTTTATCTTTACTTTGCAATTCTCCTATTCGTTCCAACCATGCTGGTTTAAGGGTTAACTCTACACAAAGACCACTGTCTCCCGTTAAAGATAATCTTGTATCCATAGCTCGTAAAGCTGCAAACATCTTTCTACTCAAAGCATCTGCTACCACGTTAACTTTTCCGGGATGATAGTCAATTATCATATCATAATCTTTTAAGAACTCTACCCATCTACGTTGCCTCAAATTCAACTCTTTTTGAGTCATCAGGTACTTCAGGCTCTTATGATCCGTATATAAGTAACAACGCTCCCCATAAAGATAATGACGCCAAATCCTGAGAGCGAATACTACAACAACCATTTCTAAATCATGAGTGGGGTAATTCTTTTCATGTGGTTTCAACTGTCTCGATGCATACGCTACCACATTCCCTTCTTGCATTAATACACACCCCAACCCGTTATGGGATGCGTCACTGTATACTACAAAATTCTTGCCAGATTCCGGTTGAACCAATATCGGAGTTTCCGTCAGAATTCTCTTTAAAGCTTCAAAACTTTCTTGACATTCAGAAGTCCAAACAAACGGTACATTCTTTCTCATCATCTTTGTTAAAGGCAGCACTATCATCGAAAAATTCTTAACGAATCTTCGATAATAACCGGCAAGTCCAAGGAAACTCCGAACTTCAGATACATTCTTTGAAACTTCCCAGTCTATTATAGCTTTAACCTTCTGAGGGTCTACTCTAATCCCAACTTCCGAGATCACATGCCCCAAGAAAATTACTTCGTTTAACCAAAATTCACATTTGGACAATTTCGCATAGAATTTTTATCCCTGAGAATTTGCAAAACTAGCCTCAGATGTGCGTTGTGCTCTTCAATGGACTTCAAGTAAACCAGTATGTCATCAATAAAGACAACAACAAACTGGTCCAAATAGGGCTGAAAAATCCTGTTCATGAGATCCATAAAAGCAGTTGGTGCATTCGTTACTCTGAATGGCATTATGATGAATTCATAATGACCATATCTCGTTCTGAAAGCCGTCTTCGGAATATCTTTCTCCTGAATCTTCAATTGATGATAACCCGAACGTAGATCGATCTTCAAAAATACCGAAGCTCCTTTTAGTTGATCAAACAAGTCATCAATGCGCGGAAGGGGATACTTGTTCTTGATGATCACCTTATTAAGCTGTCGATAATCAATACAGAGACGCTTTGATCCATCATTCTTCTTAACAAATAACGCCGGAGCTCCCCAAGGTGACACACTTGGTCGAATAAATCCTTCTTAACAACTCTTGCAATTGATTCTTTAACTCTTGCAATTCTTTCGGAGCCATCCGATAAGGTGCCATTGCAATTGGAGCGGTTCCTGGCATTACTTCAATTTGAAATTCTACCTCTCTATCTGGAGGTAATCCTGGCAACTCAGTCGGAAAAACTTCAGGGAATTCTTGAACTATTGGAATCTCCTCTAGCCCTTTCTCTATAGCTCTTAAATCTATCACATTTGCAAGAAATCCTTGACATCCCTGTAGCAATAGCTTCTTAGCTGACATTACTGACATTACATTTGCTAAGGGATTAAACTTTTCACTGCTCACACTTATCTCTGTTCCTCCTGGACTTTTCAGGGTTACCTTTTTCAATCTGCAATTAACATCTCCATAGTAACGGAACAACCAATCCATTCCCATAATCACTTCAAACTCCTCAAAGGGTAATTCCATCAGATTAGCAGGGAATTCAATTCCCTGAACCTTTATGGGACACCTCTTACAGACTTTATTTACCCGAGCACTATAGCCTAACGGAGTTGTTACTATAATCTCATTACTCGTAGCTTCTAAGGGAATCCTCAATTCCTTTACTAACTTACTTGTAATATAAGAATAATTAGAACCCGGATCAATCAGTGCCAATACTAATTTAGCATACAACTGAAAAGTACCTGCTATAATATCAGGGTCATCACGGTCTTCACTTGTATTTAGATTGTACACCCGTGCGGTTGATCGAACTTCAGGTTGAGCAGAGAATTCAGACGAGTTCCTTCCTCTGCCTCTTCCTCGTCATCTTTGTGAGGAAGAACCAACTCTTTCAGATGGTGAAGGCTCACCAACTATCAATGGACAATCTCAGATAAAATGTCCGGCATCTCCGCATCGAAAACAAGTCCCAGCAGCCATCCGACAAGCCCCAGAATGGTTTTTCCCACAGTGCTGACACTGTCTCGCTTGACTCGGAGTAGATCTCCCAGCACCAGATCCCACTGACTGCGTCTGTCTAGGTCTTGCCTGACTTGCTCCCCTAGCAGACGATGCAACTGATTCTGATCTAACTTGTGATCGAAATCCTGAGTCTCTTCCCCTTTTTGATGGTACTGAGCTAGAAGAAGCACCCGTTCTCTTTGATGTTTGAACTCTAAAATCCCCGAATCTCTCATTCTGAGCTCTTTCAAGAGCCTTGGCACGATTGATCACCTCTTGGAACGAGTACAAATTTAATACTATCAACATCTCTTTCAATCTAGGGCGTAAACCTTCCACAAACCATTCACAAGCCTCTTTTTCAGTAGGCACAAGCTCGGATGCAAACCTACTCAACTTGTTGAACTCACATTCATACTCATATATAGACCGGTTCATCTGTTTCAAATTCAAAAACTCATGCTTCATCTATCGAATAAATTGATCTCCAATGTACTTGTTTTTAAATTCATCTAAGAATAAAGACCAAGTCAATTGGTCACTGGGCATCCTCATGGTGACGTTCGTCCACCATATTCTCTCCTGACCCCTCAACAACGAGACAACTCCATCTAACTTCTCCACTTCAGAACAGTGGAGACCATCCAACATGATTTTTAAATCATTTAACCAAAGATCTGCCGCAACCGGACCTTCTTCGGTTTCTCCCTTAAATTCGGGAGCTCCTAAACCTCTTAACTCTTTTGCTACATTCATCCTTTGAGTTGGTGGAGCAGGAGGTTGAAGACGCGTTAGAATAACGTCTAACGTTCTGAAGAACATATCTTGATCTTGCATAGGCACTCCTTGAGATGCCTGTTCTTCACTTTGCCTGGCCAGGGCAGGTGAATTACTGCTTTCAGCAGGCCTATCTTCTCCCGCTTCACTTCGGGAGCTATTATGTCTGGACATCTAATAAGAATAAACACATTGTTCTATTAGCAAAACAACATACTCATACTATACCAGATCAGAAGTTCTCACTATTTGTTGGCATGTATTCCATTTAAAGACTCTATAGACTCTGGTTTATGCCTAGAATCGGCTAAACCATAGCTCTGATACCATTAAATATAACACCCCCAACCCGTATCCCAACCCGGATACGAGTCAAAGATATTACATTGACTTTTAAAACACAACTCATTACAAATAATAATAAAATACTTGAACTTATATTACGAAAAATACAATAATATACATATGGTGATATAAGTTTACCAAAATATTCAGAGCATACACAACTTAACTCTTTAATTACATGCCAACATCCATTTTCATAACAAAATGACCTACTGATTAAGTTGCTTCTGATCTGATAGTTGTAGGAGTAATGTTGTCCAGCTGCTTAACCTCGATCATCTACTTTATCGGATCCTACGTGTGAAACACTCACACGCTAAGTCATCGACTTAGTGAGGCAATATAATAATAATATCAATAAATATAAAGTAATTGCCAAAATGAGATGGGTTGCAGTAATAAGATGTATGTAAACAATGCAATAACCAAAACCATGTTTCTTACACATATACTTATCAAATTCACATTCATAAGTTCGCCTTAGTAAGTTCATTAGCCCATGGTACCATACAGAGAACTTAAGGTATGTGAGTATTGTGAGGTTGTGCACTATGCTGTCACCACAGCTCGTATAATTACACCTAAGTGCCACTTAGAATTGCACCGGAGTGCCGCGTAGAATTGCACCGTAGTGCCATAGAATAATGTCCATAAGGACCACATATCATTCCTTAAGAATCATATATATATACCAAGGATCAAGTATGTGTCTCACCAGACCTCACACATGTTCCAAAGAATACATATATGTCCCGAAGGACCACATATCATTCCTTAAGAATCATATACATATACCAAGGATCAAGTAGGTGTCTCACCAGACCTCACACATGTTCCAAAGAATACATATATGTCCCGAAGGACCACATAGACCCTATACCCTTGGCATGCCAATTATATCTATAGTTCTCATTTACATAACATGGGCTTTCACAATTTATCTAATTTGTATCACGTAGACATATTATTTTCATACCTTTATCACATAACTCATATAACTTTTCTTGCATATTCATGTCCCATAATGCATATGGTATGGATTCATGTCATATATCATAATATGAAATACTATCATGTATCAAAATATTGGATCTAGACTTATCACAAGTCTAGAACTGAATAAAATACATATTCATGCTATGCATATGCACTCACCTAGATTTCTTTGTCTTTCCCTCGATTGATCCTACTTGTCGATGGTTCCAGAACTCGATTAGGCTCAATATCTACATAAGCAAAGTTTTCAAGATGATTATCAGATGCCTAAGTCTTGAAATTAACCTCTAATAGCCTACCAATTTAAGGAATTGATAGTTTAGTCTCTCTTCTTTCTTTTTTTTTATTATGGGGGAATCAGTTCCCCCCTGGGGGTATCGATTCCCCTCTAGCGTTCTGGAAATTCATATTCGTTTGAGGGGGTATCGATTCCCTTTGAATGGGTATCGATTCCCCTAGCCCAGAAATCCTATTTTGAGCTCGAAATTCACTTCATTTCAGCTTAAACCTTCATATTTTACTCCCTTTAATATTCCTAACTTCCATACACATATTTAAACTCATTTCTATTCCATAATCACTTCTTTAAACCCAAAATTCCATCATTTACATGGCATTCAAGAATCACACTAAATTTTCAAGGTGTTCTAATTCCAATTCTAACACTTCATATCCCTTAATTAACTTGATGACAAGTCAAATCTCACTTCCAATTCTTATTATGAACTCTAATATAAGATTTCACTTTTCTACTTCATTTCTTTAATTCTTCATATACTTCTCATCTTGAGGTTTTAAAACAATTTAAACTTCCTTTAAGCTTAACTATTGCCTAATGGTCATGAATCAACCATAAATTCATCAAGAAATTCACTAACAAAAGAATCTTACCTTAGCTTGGGTCTCACGTATGAAGAAGAAGAAAGAAGAAGATGACTCTGGAAGCTTGTTTTTAATTTCCTATACATCCACGTGGTTAATATAATATTAACCCCAATAATTATATTGCTATAAAAAGATCATTTTATCCTTCTAATCTTCCTTCTTTATAATTTAATCCTACACAAAATAACTCAAATAAGTCATTGAACTCTTCCATCATTCTACTTAAATCACCAAATGCTGAAACTTTACAAATTAATCACTAACCCGGTATGGAGGATGTTACAATAGTACTATAAAACTCTGTAAACATAACCTGGAGACCAAAATGTTTAAAAGGAAATAGTATACAAATTGATGGGTAGAAAGTCTTGGTGTTTATTATTTTGAAAATATTTTTAGAACTTTCTATAAAGAGGTCTGAGGGATAAATTGAATCCTTGTTCCAAATTTCTGAATCTTGCATAAAATTCTAAAACAAACAAACAAAACAAAAACATACTATTACGCATTAGAGAAAAGAAGAAGAAATAATTTGTTTGATTTCCCCTTCAGAAATCTAGCACTTACCCTTTTTCAATGACCAAGATTGTACTGTCGAGTATCTATTATTCCTATCTTCCAGTGTTCATCAGGTTGTTCAAGGCTCGTAGCTATCCATCTCCACTTCTTTAATCTCGAATTCGTGTGCTTAGTTAGCCCACAATACCGTTGCAGTGTCTCTGGCATTTCATCATACACTTGCCACCATTTCTCGTGAGCTTTATCGCTTGCAAACCTCTGCATTTCTTCCCTATCCCAGTTACAATCATAGTCCCTGTAACACATCCATGGCTTCAACCCAAGATAATGTATCGCTGAAACTTTGTCCGGGATCATCTCCCGACTCGGGCTTTCTTGCCCTTTGAAATCCTTGAGGAAATTCACATCAGAAGGCAACCTGTGCCACCATGTAAAGGCTTCATTCAGAAACCCCTCAACACTTCCATTGTATGAATCCATCTCTGATCTTTTAGCCATCAGATCTTTGAACGTACACAACGATGGCTCGATCACCATTAACCCGGAATTGAACAAAGTGCCATCATTTGGTGCAGCGGATAATTGAGGGTAAACAAATAGCCACTCTATGTTTTGGAAAACTAGAACATCTGCATCAATGAAAACCACTTTATCATACCATGTTAGCATCCATGCTCTAAGCTTACTATAACTCCATTCATTGTTAGAATCTTTTTCAGCAAAGGGGCTTCGGATTCGCTCTATTTGCTTCGTTTCCCAACCAGCAGATTTTAAGGCCTCTAAGGACTTTGGGGTTATGTTTTCATCATGAAGAAGCACAAAATCTCGAGTCGAAGTCGAGTTGGTTCGGAGAATGCTTTGAGCTAAAGCAATGGCACCGCAAACATAATCTTCGGAGGAGTGAAGTATTGTTGCATAGGCTTCCCTTTGATGGAATGCACTGTATTTTAGCAGCTTTAACCTTTCATGATCAGCTGAATAATATCTCCATGCCTCTTTGCCTGCAGAAATCACTAAATAAAAACTAAAGAGGAAACAGAAGGAACCGATAATTTGGTATTTGTTGTATGACGTTTGAATTCCATTTTCATAAATTATTCAAAGAGTTTCTGTCACTCTGCCATTAACTATTGATTGGATAATCTATTTATTTTAAAAAAATTAGTATAAAAAAATTTAAAACTTCCTTTAATTTTTAATAAAAAAATATTAATTTCATATTCATTTTAATTCTCGATGATGAAATATTTCTTTTAGATCTTAATAGAGGAAAAATTAAAACAATTATATATATTGATTCCACGCTAACCAAACAATGCAAATAATAATGGATCCAAATTTTTTTTTAAGAGTGGACATTATATATTAATAACATAATTTTTTTGTATTGAGTGGACATAAATAAAATTTTAGGAAGGACATCATCAATAAAATAGATAACTAATATAAATAAATTCGGATTATTTGCCTACCTTGAACAATACTTACATCCGTCAAGTGCCAATGAGTACAAATATATATTGTAGATCAAAATCGTTTTTTTTTTTTTTTGGATTAAATATCGTGAATTTTAAAGAAATTTTAAAAAATACATTAATAAAATGATAGAAAATGACGAGACAAATTCATTGATATTTTGTGATTAAAGAAAACAATGAAAAGGAATGATTTTGACATTGTTAAAGAAACAAAGAGAAACAAAAAGATGAAATGACCAATAGACGATTTTTAAATTTGTAAATGTAGTTCATGTCAATATAAAAAGAGTCATGCATGATATTATTTTTTATTTAATGCTTGAATAATAATAAATAAATAAATCAGTAATTAAATTAAAAAATTAAAGTTTACTGGTCAAAATAAGAATATAATCAAAATTAAGTGATAAAATTTATAATCTACCCTTTTAATAACACTTAACATTTTCTTTGTAATTGTATGAATTGCCCATCATTAGCAATCCATTGACATTAAATACCTTACCAGAAATAAAAAGTAAATACCTTATAAAAAATTAAATACATTGAACATTTCTAAAAGCAATAATATTGTTGTATTCGTAATATTTGTAAGGATTTCAATTCATTTTACCCCTTTTCTATTTTATTTCGATTAAAGATGTTAATTTATTCTTTAGACTTAATCCATTCATAAAATGAACATCTCATTGAAATTAAAACAAATTTTCTGGTTTCATTATTACTGAAAATTTAAAATATTATATCTATTAATGAACTAATCAAAATCATGTGTAGAGTGAACAATTATGAGGAGATTAGGGAGTAAATGACCTGTTTCACCATATGGCTGAGCAATTTGGCAAGAGCCTCGAGGCATTAGCACCGTTTGTTTAAGCCTCCTCAACTCAGGCTTATACACCCAATGGTCATCCACTTTCCTCAACAGATCCTCGCATACAAAAATCTCCGGCACCGGTTCACAACTACCGACGAACACCACGTACACCGCCCGTTTAATGTCCGGCATCACCCAACCGCTCGCCACCAATACATTGGCCACCACCAAATTAACTTGAAGCCTAAGCACATCCTTCGGCCCGCTTCTCCCGGTCCTCCCTTTGCACGGAAGCTTCGCCACCACGACGTCGAGGTCATCATAATCCTCCAGAGGCGGCATCGGAATCTCTGGACACGGCGTTGGATGGCTCGAATTCTGAGCAGGGAAAAAATCCTCCCATTTTGTTCCCCTGCGAACACTATCGAAAGGGACGTGAACGGTGCTAATGATCGAACCGGGCGATTTATATTCGATTTCTTCGTTGGAATTTATGTTAACCAGACCGATTTTAATCTTCTCCTTACCCTGAATCTCATGTTGAAGAAGAAGATCGAGATTTTTGAGCTGTACAGGCGGTTCGGCATCGAGTGTTAGTGCATCGATAATGTGGTAATTTGATCTGGAAAATAAAATTAAGATAATCAAGCATAAAGAGAGAAATATTAATTGGAGAGTGGGAACTTTTTTGCTGCTAATGGAGGGTTTGGAAGCCATTTTTGGAGGATTGGTTGTGTTCTTATTGGAACGTTGAAGGAGAAAGAGGAGAAGATACTTTGAAGGAAAATATAACACGTGCATGGTTTTGTTAGGTAATATTATTCTGTCACGCGCATGCATGTACGTGGATTTAGAGTTTTTTTATTGTATTAATTTATAATTTTTAGATATACAAAATAGGTATAATTTTCAATCTCTTCATCCAAAAAAGGTAAGAACTTTTTCTAATCTTCAAATTTTTCTTTTTATTAAGCTAAGGTGATTACAAAGTAATATTCGTTAATACTGACGTGACATAAGATAATAATGTCACGTTATTATCATCATTAATTTTTTAACGATAAGTGACTAAAACATAACTAAAACGGTACATTAAGCATGATTTTGAAAAACTAATAATTAAGTGACCAAAACAAAAATTAAGTAATAGGTGGATTGCCAAATAGGTAATTTGTCCAAAATTATATTATTAGATTAATTAAAAAGTTAATTTATTTTTAAAGATTAAAGATTAAATTGGGATGCACCTGTGGATAGTGCGTGGGAGGTAATTGCTACGTATCGAGGGCCTCCGAGGATTAGAATGTTCCTTTGGCTCATTTGCAGGGAGCGGGTGTTGGTTAATGCGGAGAGAAAACGACGGTATTTCACTGTGGATAGTTCTTGTCCGCTTTGTGCTGCCCCGGTGGAGGATGTTGATCATCTGCTGCGGCAATGTCCCTCCTCTAAGGCCATCTGGAGTGCACTAGTGAAACCTGATAAGCTGTCTTTGTTCTGAACATGAACATCCGGGAGTGGATTGTATGTAACTTAGGTAAGCCTCATGACATGATTCATCCGATTGAGAATTGGGAGCTTCTTTTTGGTGCAATTGTTTGGAATATGTGGTTACATGAGGCAGTTAAATAAAAAGGGGCACTGAGTTCTGCTATGGGTGCAGCCAACTTTTGTATGACATAAGCTTTTTATAGTTGTGAATTAGATAATTCTTCTTCTTTCTCTTTTATCTTCGGATGCTGATTTGCTTTGGATGTCAACTAGTTTCCAGGTGCCACTTTATGGGATTCCTTACTCAAGAATGAATCCTGTGCTTTACTGACATGTAAGCCTAGAGGCTTCCGCATGAAATTAATGGTGATTAAAAAATTTATTCAATTAAAACTAATTAAACATTTATCTGGTTTAATATTAAAAAATTTAATTTAAAAAATATAAATAAAAATTAAGTTATAAAATAAGACTTAAATAACTCAAAATTCTTAGTAATTAGTGGATTAATTTTTAAATTCTAGACAAGACCCTCAATGCTACATAATATATGTATGTCGTATATGAAAAAAATATGAAGATATATATTATATGGTTGTAGAAATCCGTTTAAATTGGAATTAATTAGTACCGTAATATTATAATACAATTAAATTTAAACATAAACTCGAATAACTCTACTCAACTTGAATTTTTTTTTTTAAGTTTATGTTATAAAATAAGAGTTATCAACTCAAATAACTCGACTCAGTTCGACCAAATACTCACCCCATGCATGGACCACATGTAAAACGATGGAGTTCATCTCTTTTCCTTTTAGGGTTAAAGCATCGAAGATTCCAGTATAATCCAGCTCTTACATTCGAAACAAAAACTTGTAATCAAGGTTTTAGATTCCATTGGTTTTTTTTATCTTATTCCGGTTCGATACGTCCACCTATGACTCAATGTTGGGAAAATATCCCGGCCGGACCGGTCCGTTACAGAGGTCTTACTTAAATATACAGACATACACATGAAAACACACACACTTTCACACGGCCATAAAACAAAATAAAATATTTTAGCCATGAATGTGAACATGTTAAGAACATATAACTCAACATCGATGACAATTGTTCATTACAGATGGCTTAAAGAGTTTTCACAATTTACTGGGAAACATTATTCATCCGAGTTTTCCACAATCAGTTTCATACCGAACAGCAGAATTTGAGAAGAAGTTCATGCATCCATATTCTCCAACAATCATCAACTTCGACAATGGCAACCGGATATGAGGGGAACGAGATTTTCCATGGAAACAAACAGAAAATAAATCAACCCCTGTTCTAACATTAAGATGTTTAATTCTCCTGCAACTAAGTTTTAATTCTTTAAGCAGGGAAATGATACGAAAGAGAGTGAACCTTTTGTTATTCATTTTTGGGAGTTGGTTGGAATTGGCACGCCGGAGTCTTCTGTCAGGAGTTTATAAGCATTTTGCAATCTTCGAGTCACCGGCCCGACTTTACCATCGCCAATAACGCGCCCGTCGATCTTCACGACCTGTTAAAGAAATATTCGATCAGCTAGATTGAACAGGAGGATCTAAGTAGTCAGTCTGTATGTTTAACTCACCGGACTGAGTTCTCCCATTGTTCCAGTAGTCCATACCTGCAGGACATGATTATTATCAAACTCGAAACACATGTAAACGATATATTGACAATTAAGGTATAAATATATGTAAACTCGACTGAAAATCAACTGGAAACCTCATCTGCTGTATGGAACTCGGATAAGCTAATTCTTCGTTCCACTAGGACAAAGTTTTCCTTTTCAACAAGCTCCATGACCTGCAATTCGAACAGCAAGGGGGTGCATATCGCTGTATCATTTCTGATCAAACGAAATATCAAACAGCATTTTGTGGTTATTTGTTTCTTTGAGATCATCAAGTTATGAGATTCACCTGCCAGGGCGTAAATTGCAGCTAAATCAAATGTTTAAGAAACTTACAGTTGCTCGAGTTATCCCTGGCAGGCAATAATCCGCATGAGGCGTCAAAACACGGCCTTTCTTGACCAAAAACTGCAACATGTGACAGAGGAATGTTCCTCGGTTTATAGATTTTCAACTTTTAAAGCACATGCTTTGAAAATAAAATCCTTTTAACTACTAAACACATTAGGATATTCCGTCGTATCAATGTTATAGGTTATCCGAGATGAATGGTCAACTAGCCAAGAACAAGATGAAGATTATTGATGCATATTCGTACCATACTCCTTTTAAAATGGATCTAAAATCAGAAACTGCAGCCAGATCCTAAATCTTACAATGTTTGTGGCATTTGTTTCAGACACGTAACCATCCTTGTCAAGCATGATTGCATCACCGGCATTCGCATTATTCCCTTCTACCTGCATTGGACCACGCAAATCAATTTAAGTCCAAGTCCTAGAACAGTATAAGATAGTAAAATACGGTGGGTAAGTTGAGAATACGGCCAGAAGCATTTTAAGATGGTAAAACTTGCTTGACTAGCATGAAAGAATGAAAACAGCCATTTAAATCTTAAATCAGATATTAGAACATTATATGCTCTCATATTTATCATAAAATCATATCAAAGTTCTGCACAGGTCAATACCTTTGCCAGAATATTATTCAGAAGATTATTGTGGTGAATCTTCGAGTCCAAATTCTGAAAGGGATAAAAAGTTACTCAAAGTCAGCTTGTTTATAGAAAGATAAAATTTTGTAAAGGACTCTACTATCATATCGGAACAAACACCCATATTTCATCCGACAAGAGTCAACAGCAAGACCTGGCATGATATGTTCTCCTAAATTTTGTAGCAAGTAGCAAATAGTGGCAAGAAAAGACTCCAAGAATCTTACATTTGGTGAATTGCGACGTGTACTAGCCGTAACAAGTTCTATACCACTCTCATTGTCATAAACCGGGGGTTTCCATTCGGGAAGCACTGCATTTTTTTCCATAGGAAACATCAAGCATATCAGCTGAAAATCCACAAATCACAATAACAAATACTATATTTGCAAAAAGAACTTTGCGAATGTTATCCAAAAACAACCACGACAGCACATTCTAAGTGTGGTAGGAATTTGCAGCTAATATACATGTGCCAATAGATATCAGAACTTAAGGGTATCGCTCCAGTATATAAAGGACTTAAAGCATTGCTTTACCGATCAAAGTGCAGCCATATCGATTAAATGCAGGACTCATCCCGGAAGTAACCTGAACAAGATGTGAGTATAGCATATTAGTGAAGAAAATCTAGAGAAGAACTAGGAATTCATGAATGGCCAACTAGCCACATCTTAGGTTTTTTCCCAGAGAGATGGAGAGAAGATAAAAATGTTTCATAACTTTTTTCCACGAGTAAGTGTTAATCGAATGTGTGTATTGTCGAACATTCCATTGGCATTGAGAGTTCTGAAGATAGCCTCTTTGATCTGCAATGAAGCAACAACATGTTACTACAAAAGAATCGATTAACTTGTTGCATGAACAATGTCCATCAAACAATGCTCAATCCACGAAAAGGATATTTTCAGAGAGATTGAATTCGAATTTATCTGGAGATCCTCACCTCATCACGAGTTGGAACATTGATGAAAGCCAGAGCCTTTGCAGAATCAAACATCCTTGCAAAATGAACCAAAAGAAGAATTCAAGCAACCATTAGGCATTATCAGCAAGGACTAACCTAAGTTCGCCTATGTGTCATTCATTCATCTTTCCCCATACAATCAGTCGTACATAGGGGAAATGAGTGAGGTCAACAATGTCCAGATTTTTCCCTTTTTTCTTTTGCTTGGAAACTGTCTTGATTAATACTAGTGCAGTTCTTAATAAAGGGAATTCATTAAGCATTTGGTTTCACCAACCTATCCAAATGCTCTTCGAGCTTAAATATCTTTCCATTGTAAATTCGAAGTCCTTCCCACACAGCATCTCCACCTTGTACGACTGAATCAAATACTGAAACCTGGTAATGCATTGCAAGAATGAGAAACCAAATATACCTGTGAATTAATAATCATAAAGGAAAGTTTGAAGTCAATGGACAACAGATTGAGAATGGTTCCAGGATTAAGGACCTTTGCACTCTCGCGAGGTAGAATCTCATCACCAACCCAAGCAAGCAGCTTTGCATTCTTGGGAACTGGAAGATCAGGAACCAGTAAGGGCTTTAAAAGGGATGATGTCTGCC